AAATAATGGTCCCCACAGCCTTCTAAGCTGACCCCTCTGTCTTGCATTTCACTGACCCTCAGTAGCTGCTAGGGATCTTTTGGAAAGCACTCTCTCTTTGGAGCCTGAGAGAGGTGTGTGACTGAAAGAACTTGTCCACAGTCACCCACTGATAGCAGAGGCATGCTTAAACACGTTTTGTTTGGGAAAGGTCCATGTATGTATGAACCAGAACCCCAGTAGCCATACTGTTTACTTTCCTGATACTATCTTTTGGCTTCACCGTGAGTCCTCAGGGACCAGCCCAGCTTGTAGCCCTGAACTAAAACAGTGGGAAGCTCTTGGAACCTGAAACCCCCAAGTTTAAGGTCCAGTTCCAGCGAAGTCAGGCAGGGGCGGATCTGGGGCACTGCTGTGGATTCAGCCTGGAGTGGGGGTAGGGTCTGGGAGGCTTGGGCCTGTCACACAGAGGCTGAGGCCTGCTGGGAGTTGGCTGTATGACCTTGTTGGCCCCAGGCCCAGCCCAGAATAGCTCTGGAGCTGGGCCCAGCTTGGGTCGGACCCTGTGTATGCCTGAACATGGGCATATGCGCTCTGGCACTCAGGTACATGGGAGTGTGTGTGCATTTGTGTGTGTAGCTCCGTGTCTCCAGATCAAAGGCACCCCGTGCCCACACATGCGTGCTTGCGTTCCTTGGAGCAATGTGTCCGTCTGTCCTGGTGAATGTGCAACTAGAGCTGTGCTACACGGAGGCCTTGCTCACTGGCTCAATTGTGGGTCCATGACACCTTCCCACCACTACAGGATAGCATGTGTGTGCAGGGGGCAAGACCAGGGTGCCAGTGGTGAGTACACGCAGCTGGATGGCATAGGGGCTCTTGGCTTGAGCGTGAGATGGGCAGGTACCCTAATTAGTTTTTGGTAGTAGACAGACGAACTTTTTTCTTCGTATAGTTTGCACCTGTGATAGCGGCCCCCATTTCCTCCCAGCCAGGACTGCCGAATGCTTTTGAGCTGTAAACAGGTTGCAGGTGTTTGGGCCCCACATCCCGGCTCTCAACAAGGACCGAGGACCCAAAGAACCCAACCTCAATGGGGCGTCCAGGTTCCTGAGCCATCACCCCGGAACCCTGTGAGACGAAAACCCAATTCCTGAAAAGCCCCTTACTCTGCCCCTTCCCCATTTTCTTTCCTTTCTCAAAGAAGTGTATACAATTGCCTACTAAAAGAACCCCGGGGCTCCTTACTCTCAACCCACCTGTGCGGCCAGGCAACAGCCCGCAGCTGTGTCCTTGAT